TTTTTTTTAAATAAATAATCAAGAGGTGGAGTAGATGAGTGTGGATGATATGAAGTGGATCTTAATTTGGTGACTGTTCATGCTGCATCATGGGCATGTTGGAGTTCATTATACCCTTCTCCCACTTTTGTATATCCTTGAAATCTTCCATTACAAAAAGTTTTTTGGGGGCACCTGGGTGGCTCAGTCGGATGAGCGTGGGACTTCAGCTCAGGTCATGACCTCGCACCTCTGGAGTTTGAGCCCCACATCGTGCTTTGTGCTGACAGCTCAGAGCCTGGAGCCTGCTTTGGGTCATGTGTCTCCATCTCTCTCTGCCCCCTGCCCCCACTCATGCTCTGTCCTGCTCTCTTTCAAAACTAAACATTTAAAAAAAGTTAAAAAAAATTGTTTTAGTGTTTATTTAGGTATTTTGAGAGAGAGACAGAGAGAGCAAGCAGGGAAGGGGCAGAGAGAGAGGGAGAGAGAGGATCCCAAGCAGTCTCCATACTGTCAGAGCAGAGCGTGACATAGGGCTCAAGCCCATGAACCACGAGATTACAACCCGAGCCAAAATCAACAGTCAGATGCTTAACCAACTGAGCCACCCAGGCACCTCTCTTCCCATACAAAAAGTTTCAAATGTTACATTTACCTAAAAAAAATTTTAATAACGCTGTAAGAAAAAAAAAACTAGCAAAATCAGACTTGCAAGGATTTTAGTTATCGGAGTTACCAATCACACTGAAAATCAGTTTGAAATATACTGCAAATTAATTTCATCTACAAAGAATGTCAGTAAGTAAAAAGTATGGTCCACCTTCATCAAAAAAGAGAGGACTGAGATGGCCTTTAAATATACATGAAGATTGAGAAAAGAACATTTTGGCACTTAAAATTTCTACCCACATTATCTGGTGTTGTAACATGTATTTAACTTGTATTTTGACTCCATTATCGTGGCGGGCTAATCCCAAAGCTCTTTCTGTCCTTCTCACTGTCTATCTCACACTCACTGAGTGTGATATTTTGGGAGCTAGACAACAGAATTTTGTGACACTATTGCAGACAAAAAACTGAGATCACCACTTTGGAAATGACAAACTACTCAGCAATACCGAAACAAACATTCTATAAAATGTAAAATTTGATTTTTTAAATTATTGTTTAATTGTCATCAAATGTCATTTTACCTATGATATAACTATGAACTACATCTGCTTAGCCTCTCCTGACCTCCAGCCCCATTTGTCCAACAGCCTAAGAGACATGTGCATGTGAACGTGTCATAGTAACCTCAGGCACACCACAGTTTTGTCTGTTATTCTGCATACAGGAGAAGGGCAATCGCAGCCACCCCATCACCCAAGAGAGACACTGGGAGTCAGCCCAAGCACCTCCTCTCCCTCTCCCTTCACATCTTATCCATTCTATCCAAAATCCTGTCAGTTCCACCTCTTAAGTATTTCTTAGTCCTGTACCCTTCTCTCTATTCCTCTTAACGTGGACTTCGTGCCGACTCATGGTTTCGTACCTGGGCAGCTATCTGTAAACCTCCCACAGCTAGCTTTTAAACTGGTCCCCTGCCTCTAGCCTTCCTCTACTTGAATCTAGTTGGTGTATTGAAATATTCAATAAACATCTGGTGAGGGCCTACTCTGTGAAGTTCTACAGACAGCTCCTTCAAGGGACACAAAGATGAGTAAGACAGTTCCTGCCACTGAGGGGCTTACAGTCTAAAGGAGGGAGACACTGTCTATGGCGGGAAGGGCTCTGGCATCAGACAAACTGTGGTTCAAAATGTCAGTTTTGCTACTTACTGGCTGTAGGACTTTGGTTCAATTGCTCAGTCTCCTGAGCCTTATTTCTTCACCTCTAAAATGGAGATAATAATAATGCTCACTTTCCATGGCTGTTTAAGAATCAGAAAACATGCAAATGTCGGGCACATAATAGGCACACAGCACGGCAGACAGTGGCTAGTATTATTAGTTTAGTGATGCACTTAATAGAGTCAGTATTTTCTCAATGGAGATTAAAACCAGTTTTTTCTAATTTAATAATTTTACCTTGTAGAATTGGCTGTCTATTGCGCAGCAAGTATAATACGGTCCCATTAATGTACAATTACATTTCTATAACTCAAAGAGGCAATTTTATAAAGCAGTTAAGAGTATGTACCCTGAGCCAAACAGACCTAGATTTCAATCATCTTAGTCACCTGTGAGCTGTGTGATTTGGCCAAGTCACTTAGTTTTCCTCCAATTGCTTAACCCTTTGGCTTCAGTTTCTTCATCTGTAAAACTGGATGAACATGCAGCTTTTTGAAACGGTTGGCAAACTGATTAGCACAGTGTCTGGTCCATAGGAAGCAGCTGATAAATGTTATCAGAAAACGATATCTGGACGGCTGCTCACCAAAATGGTTTTCTCTAGATGGTTGGATTTCAGCAGGTATTTATTTTGCTCATTATATTCTTCTGTATTGCTTGAATTTTTTTTTTTTTTTTTTTTTTACTCTGGGCACATGCAATTTTTATAAAAGCTACAATAAAGTTTCAATAAAATTTACCTTCTGAATTCAAGAGTTCTGGTTTCATCTTTCCAGTACCACATCCCTAATCGTAATCCCAATTGCTGTAAAATGAAATGATTGCAGCAAATATAATTAAAAACTCAATTTACAATACACATGGCATAATGAGCTTTTAACAATTCCCACTAGCCGCTCTTTATTCAATAAAGATGTAGTATCTTCAAGTGTTGTGGGGTTGGTTTGTTTTTATCTTGAAGCCAGGATTTTACCCATCTTGTTTTCAGATGCAGTTTCGGTAGAAAAGAAGGAAGAGAGAAATAAGGGAAAGAGGAGGAAAAGGAAGGGAAGAAAGGAAACTTCACTTAGCCTGCACTACTGTCTCAAGGCTCATCATAGCAACTGACCGATGAACTGCGACTCAGACCACAATAAACTGATGCCCAGGGCAGCCTCAACAGAGGAGTTAAGACACTCATAACAGGCAGGGGAGCCTGCTCGAACCGACCCCGCCCAGAGGAAGCAGGCAAAGAACCAGCTTACTTTTTCAGTAGTGGTAGCTTCCAACCCACCAGCCTTTTCTTCCCGCGGATCGCACATCCCGCCACCCC